GAAAGAGTGATGATGACGGATAGCATATGTGAGTGCTAGAAACATGGGGGTCAGGGGGCAATTCTATAAACTGTGTTGACCCCCACATGCTTTCTTTTTGAAAGCAATTTACCTGAAGCTCTGTCTGGCTGGTATTACCTTAAATTTTATCCACTACATAGGACCTGATTATAGTTGATAATTTGGATTCAGACTTTTAAGGGTAAAGAGATCAATTTGCTAGCACTTTGTAATTTTTAAAAGTTCCAAGCTTATCTCAAATGATGACTTGTAAGTGTTAACAAAACAATCAATGTACACATGAGTTGTTTATTTGTCACTAGTAAGAAGCCCAGAACATTTTATTAACTTAGTAGCTTGATTAAACTTCATCCTGACTAATAATTGACTGTATGTGAAGGGAAGATATAAAAAACATCCTGTTCTTGAGATGTTTAAAATATTCTCAAATGAATTATGATATCTACTCACTCTCTGTGATATTGGGGCAAGTCTGTGAGTCTGCATCCTCATTCCAAAAATAAAGGTTTTATGCAATAGTTTTTGTCTCCCATGTTCTTTGCATGCTCAAAATACCCCTTAATATCCAAAACATTTGGGATACTACCTCTATTTTAGTTTTAATTTCAGTATCTGCTGACTGAATACACAGTGATAAATGAACTCAGTTAAAATTTAAATCCATATTTATTTTAGTCATAGAGCAGTGATGTTATTGATACTAGCAATTCTAGTCGTACATACATAATGAGACACACATAATCCTTGCAGACCAGATTAGGCTGCTTACTCTTTTATAAAAGGCAAGTGATGTAAAAAGAAAAAATGCATTTTATGCACTTTGATCAAACTGTGGAGAAGTAGCTATATTGCTTTTCTGCTGGTGCCAAAAGAGGTTAACATTTATAGAAAAGATAGGTAAACAATATAAGTATAACTAGGCTGTGTTTAACCAGAGACTATGTCAGCTTTAATTTTCTTGACATCTATCTCCAGCCTGTGTGAGTTTTTTTCTCATGTGAAATTCAGGAGCTCTCTGTCTCAGAAGGACTAGGTTTTAGATCCAGTGATGTAAAGCTTCTGGTAAATTCTAACTCAAGCACTCAGCTTGATCTTAGCCTATTCCTCCTGTTTTCCCCTTGGATCTCCTGATTCTACAAATTTCTAATCACCAATCACCCCTCTAGGCTGTTGGTCATGTTGTTACAGTGCCAGATTGATGAGGCCACCCTTGGGAAAGGAAAAGAGAAAAGGTGATGATGACGGACAACAGATGTGAGTGGTGGAAACATGGGGTTCAGGGGGTAATTCTATAAACTGTGCTAACCCCCACGTGCTTTCTTTTTAAAAGCAACTTACCTGAAGCTCTGTCTGGCCTAAGATTCATCAGTAAACAACATTTTATCTGCTGGAGAAATGCAGGGCCAAAGACTCCTTCCTGTTAATAAAAAGAACACAAGTTCTCTGAAGAAGGGATTTTGTGACTTTTATACATGGTAGATTCCAGGACTCAATGAGACAGAATAGTGAAATATTACACAGCAATAAAGAAGAAAGAAATTTTGGCATTTGCAGGTAAATGGATGGAACTGGAGAATATCATACTAAGTTAAATAAGCCAGTCTCCCCAAACCCAAGGCCAAACATTCTCTCTAATATGTGGATGTTAATCCAAAACAAGGGAGAACAGGGAAGGGAAGAATAGAAATCCATTGATTAGACAATGGAAAATGAAGGGAAGGGTGTAGTGAGGGAAATATCAAGGACAATAGAATTAATGAGACATACTTTCTTAGCCTTTTATTTGAATACACAATCATGGTAACTCCACATCATGTTCAACCTCAAGAATAGGATACTAATTAGAATAAGTTATAGTCCCTGTATGTATAATATGCCAAAGTACATTATTTGTTATATTTATATAAAAAGAACAAATAAATTTAAAAAAGAAAATGTGATCTTAAATGATACTTCTTAAAAAAAGCAGAAAAATTAAAAGCAAAGCACACTATTAATAAGAACAAGTTCTAATTAAACTGGTCAAAATGGGCCAAAGTGACTCAGAGTTGCTTTGAATTTTTAACATATTGTTATAATATTAAAATGTCCCTTCATGGCAAAAGACATTTTGCAGTGGTGACTTGATAGTCTAATGCAATCCTTCTATCAGTGAGAAGTCAAGAGGTGGACCTGGTGTGACTCTGGAAACTTCCATGGATCCCCAATAAAACTAGAGGTCAGGAGAGCTGCACCTTCCCTCTCTTCTTTGAGAAGATCCATTGTCTCCTTTTTTCCCTGTTTCTTCTAATAAACTCATGTCTGAGCTACTCTGAGCAACTCCTCTGAAATCTTTCCAGCATGATCACAAAAACAAGTGACCAAAGACATCTAGAGGAATTTTGGCTCCATAGATGGCCTTGATCTCTAACAATGACTTTCCCTGGGGGCTTCATAAAAAGAGTAAAAAGAGGTAGGATTTGAGTTTGTTGAAAATCTTTTCCTATTCTCAGAAAATATATGGATATTTCTCATTTTTAGTAACCTGTCCTCCTTCCTCATTATTTGTATCCTATATTTGTAACCTCTAGAGTTGAGAAACTGATTTATGAGTAAATATTCCCCTTCTTCATTTCTTGAACTCTGAATAAAACCATCTCTTAAACATTGATTTTCCATGGGATGAGCTTCATACCTAGGAAGAAAAACACTACAATAATCTATCATCCCTAGAGAAGTTCTACAAATCTAATTCTTAAGGTGATTGTTCCTGACTTCTTGTTAGTGACTATAGTAGTTGTAGTTCATTGTGTTCATAGTAGCTGTGGTTCATTAGTATTTTATTCTATATGAATCTTTGAGAATTTGGGTGTGAGGAGATCCAAAGGGCTGAAATAACTAGATATTATGATATTAAGTGAAAATTCAATTTTCAAATGCAATTAAATTTCAAATACAAATATGATTTTTAGAAATTGTGGTTTTGCAATAAAAAGCTAAAGGAGATATTTCTGTTAATATTATTCTTTTATTTACTTCAAATAGAGGAGACAGGCTAGAGCAAAAAGAAAGATAGGGCAAAAGTTCCTACTCTATAACTGAACTCGAAGACCATTTTAATGCTAAATGGAATCATAATCTAAATACTGGCATACATGCTTAGGAATCTTTGGGACTTTTCTAGGAAAGGCCTAAGAGTGGGAATTCCTGGAAAGGTTATAGGTATTGAAATTGTTCTTGTTTTGTCTTCTTTTTTTTCCCTTTATCTACCATTGCTATTGGAAATTCAGAATACAAAAATATGAAACTCACTTCAGGAATGAAGGTGTTATGTTTTGATTAAAAATAATGTGAATTATCTTTAGAGATCAGATTTAATTCTTTGGATGAATCTCTTCTGTTTTGCTTGAAGAAATGGATTAATTTAGCTAATAGAAGGCAGTAGGAGCATTTTCTTTTAGATATTTCCCACACTTTCTAATTTTGCACATTTAATATTTTCAAACTGAAGTACACACCATTTTTGTTACCGGTACTGCGGGTTCCTGTGTTCCCCCAAAGTGAAATCAGGCAGGAATACTGTTTGACAGGAACAAGGCTTTGATTCTTAAGCTCTAATATAGGGAAGGCAGCAGGTGGAAAAGGGATTAACAATCATTCATTAAGAGAGAGAAATATACAGTTTGTTGTTGTTGTTTGTGTGTATTTTTATTGCATATATAGGGCAGGCAGAAACTCAGTGATGTCATTTCATATAGAGGTGCAGTCTTAGAGCCCACCTGGGCTCTTTTCATCATAGAAGAAGTAGTCTTCATAGGCTACCTGTCTCATTATCATATTAGGTCTCTGCTCTGTGATATAATTTTAATATGCTACTAAATAAAGGGTTATCATGGTTTATTCCAGTGACTAGTTTCAACATGCCTTTCTCCTCTATAATTTAGGAAAGCCCTTAGCACTTTGTTAGAGGAAAGTACAATATTTATAAGTATGTCTGTGCATCACTGATAGTTAGCTTTATAACTTTTTTTTTCTCTGTTTTCTCTTTCCTGATGTTTGCTGACCCCATAGTCTTAAGGACTGAGTGTGCTACCTCATTTTCCTACTTAATTCTTTTTTAGAATTTTGTTATTTTTGAAAAAATTAGGGGCAGAGAGAAATTTCTTCATGGATGACATTGTCTTTTCAAAAACAAAGCTAGGTTTGTTGCAGGTAACATTTCAAACCTCTTGCATAAGACCAGTTCGCATTAATGTTTCACTCTAATTAAATATTTTAATGGGCCTTTGCAATTTATTTAGTGAAATGTTTTAAATCTTCTTTATGAATGTAATATTCAGTTTTTGCTTTAAAGTATGGAGCTTCTTAACTATTGGCTTGATTTACTTAATAATTTTCATAGTTAATTTAAAATTTTGCTAGAATTTAAATGACCATTAAGGAAATGATTTGCCATTGTGAAAAATTATGATGAAGTTTACTTTCTCAGCTGATTGAAAGTACATAACAATCAGAAATATAAAGTCTACAATTATAAATTCAGAGAGCTTTCTCCTATGCTTGACTGCTTGACTAAGCTTGCATTCATAATAACAATGTTATAAACTATAAAAAGTGTGGCACATGATGATGGTGTAGGCTATCCCTCAATGTAAGTTGTGTCATACTATGTTTTCAAGTACTATGCCAGGCACTTAAAACACTCACCTGTCTTTTCCCTCCATTATGAGTTTTGGGTACTTTTTAATTATCAGGAAATTATTTGGCATCTAATTTTGAGTTTTTCATCTAATTGAGGATTCAAAGTTGTTTTTTTTCCATTATGGGTTCAAAGATTGTTCTCATCATAGTGATGTGGGCTGACTATTAGAAAGGAATCCACTGCAGCACACTTTAAAACAGAATTGATTTAAATATAGTAGCTAGGGTTTACAATCACATTTATATGGACTATCAACTTACATTGTTTCCCCCTCTACATACAGGCAGAATATGTCAAGATGTCTTCCAGTAACGACCAGGATTATATCCCATTTTTACAAAGAAACAACAGTGACCTCCCTGAGATGACCTCCAGTGACCTGAAGACATTTCCTGAAGGGGCTGTGTTAAGTTTCCATAACATCTGCTATCGGGAAAAAGTGAAGAGTGGCTTTCTATTTTGTAGGAAAACAGTTGAGAAAAAATTACTATCAAATATCAAGTATGTATATGAACTTTTTAAAAGACCACTTTAATGACCTATCTCAGGCGTCACAGGCTTTGCCTAATACCAATAAGTTACTGTGAGCATTTGTGTTTCAGTCTTTGTGCTGGTGTATAGACACATGCTTTCATTCCTTTTGAATAAACTAGGACTAAAATGATTCCATTTAGTGAATTAAAATTGACTCATGAAAATTGACTCATTAAAATTGACTCGTGAAATGCTGACATGACTTTTTGTATAAAGTAATGTCATTGACCACATGTATATTGAATAGATGTTCAAACATACTGTGGGAATGTATATTTACCTTGCCCTTCACTTTATCCCCCCCCCTTTTTTATTTGTTGGGGCATGGAGGAGTGTGGATTAACAGATTTTACCCCAGGCTTTGTGCTCCCTGGGTCATCATTCTCCCCCTGAGCCACACTCCCAATTCCTCTTGCTTATCTTTTTTACCTGGTAGACTACTGACTCAGTATACTAAGGGTCTCCTCTATTCAAGAGTTCACACTGAGTTTATGGCTTAGTGGTGTGCATCTCTACAAAGATGTTTTGTGCTTTGTTAGGTTTATAAATGTAGTAAGTCTTGAAGTTTTTATTTTGTTTTTACTGTTACAAACATAGCAAGCATTGGTTTTCATGCTTATTTGCGTTTCTTGTTTTTTATTCATGAGAAGGTCATATTTTTCTGGCTGCAGTGTTTCTAAAATTTCTCCTATCTGCTGGACTCAAATAGTCTCTGATATGTGAAGGGTCACTCTCATTATCTTATTTTTGGTTTGTGTTGGATAACACTATCATTATTGAAAATGATGACAATATTTCAAGAAAAGGTCATGAGAATCTTGATTTTTCTTTGGATTTTTGCTTTTCTGTTCATTGTTTAAGAAGACAATAAAACAAAAATTGATCATGAGAATTCATTAATTTTCCTTACTTTCTTAGAATTTTATTTTGCTTATTTTTTATCCATATTTAGCATTTGAGCTTTCTCTTACCAATGCTAAAATTATCAAAAAAGGGCTGAGTATGTAGCTCAATGGTAGAGTGCTTGCCTTGCATGCATGAGGCACTGGGATCAAATCTCAGCACTAAATATAAATCAGTAAAGAATAAAGGTACATTGACCACTAAAATAATATTATGAAAAAAAAATTCTCCATTCCAGCAGATGTGTGGATATCCTATAATTGTGAAAAAAATCTTCACCCTGTTTGAGAGATTGGTCTGGTTATCTATTTTGAAATAATTTGAGATGTAAAGCTGCATGTGCATAACCCTTTCACCAGATTTGTTAATTGTCCACACTGCATTGTTTGCTCCCATCACTGTGTCTCATTTGTGTCCATTGTTACTACTGGTTTTTGTGAATCACTTGAGAGCACACTATCCACATGATACACCTTTATCCCTAGTACTTTTAGTACTACTTTCTAGAAAGATGATTACTGTCCTGTATGATCACTCAATTGTTTTCTGGAAGCAACCAAGAAATGATGTATCCTCAGATTGAAGGCAGGAGAGGTCCTGAGGACTACTCTTCACTGTGTTCCTCACATAAGTGACTAACCACCACATCGTGTCTCTGCAGTCTTGTCCATCCTGGTACTTTCTAGTTCCATCCCACTGCAGGTGATGTTAAAACTGATCACCTGGTTATGTTGCTGTCCGTCAAACTTCACCATCAGATCACCATTTTCCTCTTTGTACTTGATTAATATGAATGGTGATACTCTGATGTTACTCCAGAATCTTGTTGTTTATTAAACTTGAGTTTCATTCCACTGTGGTGACTCCTGTGTGAATCAGCAACCGCTGATTGTTGATAAAGGGTGAGTTCCTATTTTCATTGTCTCATAATTTGCATTCCAATTATAGGAAAAATCTTCATTCATCATTTCTCCTTTTGGTTACTGTATAGACTCATGAATTGTATTTTTTTTAATTTCCTTTACTGGGGACTGAACTAAGAGTTACTATACCACTAAGCTACTTCCCCAGTCCTTTCATATTTTGATTTGAGACAGTATCTTGCTAAATTTTCCAGGCTGGCTTCGAACTTGCAATCCTCCTGCATCTGCATAAGGAGTCTTTGGATTAAAATAGTGCACCACAGTGTCTAGTATGGATTTGTATTCTATGCAATAACACCCAATTGTAATGCTTCATTAGTATTATTTATCTTCATACTCCTATTGCTGCTGATTTAGTCAGTAGGAAATTTTTCAAGACAGGTTAATTTTTTTTTAACTCATCCCACCACTCTTAATTCTTTGGCATAGCAAGAAGTTCCAAATTTATTGTATACTTTCCTTCCCAGTCCTGGAATCCTTCAGTGTTTATTTTTGGAGAATGGTATTGAGAATACATGATCTGGGTGATTTGAATACTTATTGCTATTCGGGTGTCATTGCTCCTGTGCCTTCAAAATGGACAGACCTAGGGAGTGTATGTATGCAGGTACCTACACACATTGAATATGTCTATTGCATTTGGTAGTATAGCCATTTGGACAATATTAATTCTGCCTATCCAAGAATATGGGATGTCTTTCTATTTTCTAAGTTCTTGGGTTTCTTTATTCAACATCGTGTAGTTATCATTGTAGAGGTCGTTCCCCTCCTTGGTTAATTTAATTCCCAGTACTTTATTTTATTTTTGAAGCTATTATAAACGGAATAGTTGTCCAAAAAGGATCATGGTTTAAAGAATAATTGAAAGGAATTTAGAGGGACCTGATCCATCTTTCTTATAAATATTGACTAATAATAACATCCTTCATAGACTAGACTTCTGTTAACCAATAAGTCTTTTTTCTTTGATTTGGTGCTTGTTTTTTGTCTGCAATTTTTTCAGTCTTCCTTGAGTGTATCATTGCAGAGTCTAAATAAATAGTACTGCATCTAAAGTAGAACGATAAATCATCACGCTTTTGTGTTTACAGTGGAATCATGAAACCTGGTCTCAATGCTATTCTAGCACACCAAAGTCGAGGGAAATCTTTGTGAGTATAACAGAAAATATGTCTCAACCACTTCTGTGTAGTTGTTGTGTGATTTTTAAAGATGACTTTTTAAAGTTTACTAGGGAATAACTAAACAATTGATATGGTGATGTTGGCCATATTAGAAGTTAATGGAGAGGGGAGAAAGGGAATAATGATAAAAGTGGGAGGATGGAGCTGAAAGAATAATTGAAGACTAGAATTCTTTATTTTGGTAAAGAAGCACATTGCCTGAGCTGGATCCACCAAATTCAGACAGCTAGAAACTCATTTGGGAAGACTGTGCTGGATCAGCCAACATGGCTTTGCTTATATACCTTTGGATTTTCTTGTAACAACAACAACAACAACAAAAAGATGATGATAATTTAAACATACACATGCACATATAAATAACTTTAGTTAAACCTCAGATTTCTGGAGTAGTAAATTTTCTAAGTTTAGTAGAATATGAGAGATATGGCCTATAATGGAGGAGAGAAATCTGTATTGTATATGTCCTTTTATAGGTTGCTAAATATCTTAGCTGCAAGGAGAGATGCATCTGGATTATCTGGAGATGTTTTGATCAATGGAACACCTCAATCTGATACTTTCAAATGTAATTTGGATTATGTGGTTCAGGTAAGAATTTGTAGATTTGCCTTTTTTGTTTCACCTGTATGAGCATACTCTTTACTTACAGCTTATTATGCTTCTAGTTGTTTATGTGTCATGCTCACATAACCAATATTCATTCCACCAGTTTTCATAATCTTTCATCTCAACAGTTAAATGAAAAAACAATGAGGACTTGAAAAATTACCCTGTTGGACAATGTTATCAATTCTGGCTTGTGTATAATTTACAAGTGTCCACAGTTGTCCTTTTTACCCTTCTAGCATTTTTTCCTTTCCCTAGAAGATGTGTTTGCAAATCCTTGTACAAAGCAACCTGGCTGTATCTGGTTCTAGTGGGCATGATTACCTGGGCTCAAACCTGGCGTGCAGATTGAGGATGAAAATGACTTCCTTGGACTCTGCAGCTATCTTTATGTGGGTCACTGCAATTGGTATAGTTGAAAGTTTATTATTAGCTTGAACTTTACCTTGGTTATGTTATTTTTATAGATCATGGATTAAGTTACATATACTGAAATATGACTGAGGAGATTAAAATGAGACAGAAGAAGACACATGTACAGGGAAAATTACACTCAACTTAGAAAATTAGTGAAAAAAAGTCCCAGAGAGAAGTCAGTCCAGCCTGGAGCAGATTTATGATTAAGCATTTAAAATCATTACAGAGTAAAGAAACAAGTATGAAATAGGGAAAACTGAATGGAAATCTAATGATATTAAATATTATCACTAACAAATTTTAGGTATGATAATCATATTGTGGGTATGTTTTATATACATATAGAACTATGTACTATGATGTCTGGAATTTTCTTCAAATTATAGATGAGACAACACTGATCATGAGTTTATAATTACTGAAATTGAATTTTGAAGATGTGGAGTTTATCATATTATTCTGTCTATTTTTGAATATATTTGGCAGTTTCCTAATGGAAAGTAAAAATAAAACATTTTTTGGTAAAGGGAAAATGTTGATTCCTGATTTCAAAAATAAAAAAAAATGCATTTAGGATGATATCGTGATGGGCGCCCTGACAGTGAGAGAAAACTTACAGTTCTCAGCGGCTCTTCGGCTTCCAATGGCTATGACAAATCATGAAAAAAATGAAAGGATCAACAAAGTCATTGAAGATTTAGACCTGGATAAAGTAGCAGATTCCAAAGTAGTGTGAAAAAACCTGATAGTATCATAACCATGAAAGATGACCTCCTGTGTACATGGTATGACCTAAATGTGTGTTCCCCAAAATGTGTGGGGTCAAAAGTGGCTACATTCTGTAATAATGAGAACAATGACTACTTACATACTATGAAGGTGGAAATTAACTGGAAAAATACTCTTAATAATGGTTGTATCCTAGGAATGGAGTGTGGTCTGGTGTGGGGAGTGTTCCTCACAGGACCCTTTTGACCCTCGTTGTTAATTCATGGCTCATTTGATGTGTTTGAACTAACACTTCTTCTTCCTATTTCTCTTCCTGCTATTAACTGCTGTTTTCTTTCTCTTCCTCCTGGGGCCTTTGTTCCATGACTTTTTTGAGGTGAATTTCTGGAATCCATAACTGACAAGAATCCAAGGATTATTGCTTTGTATGTTTAATTTTTCTTTCAAAATTGTATTTTGTCAAATTATAATTTACTTTTAATTCATATAGTCACCAAGAAGTTTTGGAGCCTTTCTTTGTCAGTTTTTTTCTCTTATCCCTACCTCACTCTCTCCTTTATTTCCTTTCCTTTGCCAGTCCTATTTCCAGATCTATATTTCAGGCTTCTTTAGGTTTGAGAGGTACAGTTGTGAACAGTGTGACAAAGAGTGAAGTGTGACAAACAGTTAATGCCTACTTAGGCATCAGAGAGAAAAATTGAGTGAAATGCATCAACTTAATACTATTGAACAGTTGAACAGTCTTTAGGCAGGGATTGCTGAGCAGACATTTGAAGCTGTGTGTAATAATGAGCTGCTTAGACTGTAAATGGTTCACCTCCTTAAGAACTCCCCGACTTAGAAGCAATGAAAGTTGGGGTTCTACTGGCTCATGCTTCCTATATTATTGTGGATATTCTTGCATGTGAAATATATTTCTTATGGAAGAATAACCCTAGGATGACACTATTTACCATTTATTTTTTGTGTACTTAGTGATTGCGTTGTCTTTGCTTGTCATCTGTTTATTGACTTGACTTTTGAGTTTCTTCTGTGGGATTCTACTCTATTCTTTAACATTAAGCACTTGTAGCCTTAAATTTCTTGCTTATGTTTGCTGGAAAAATATGCAGAGGTAGTCACTGACTGCCTATATTCAAAAAATCTAATTGAATTCCATAGTTCAATTTTTTTTTTTACTTTTGGCATTTGCAGGTAAATGGATAGATTTAGAGAAGATAATGCTAAGTGAAGTTATCCAATCCCCTCAAAACAAAAGCGAAATGTTTTATCTGATATAAGGAGGCTGATTCATAATGGGGTAGGGAGGGGAAGCATGGGAGGAATAGACAAAGTCCAGATAGGGCAGAGGGGTTGGAGGGGAAGTAAGGGGGAATGGGGTTAGAAATGATGGTGGAATGTGATAGACATTATTATCCAAAGTACATGTGTAAAGACACAAATTTGTGTGAATATACTTTGTATACAACCAGAGATATGAAAAATTGTGCTTTATATGTTTAAGAATTGTAATGCATTGTTCTGTCATATAAAAATTTTAAAATGTTAATTAAAAAAACAGAAAAAGATAGTCTCGTTACTATAATGTGATTGTTGAATCATTAATAGAAGAGTAAATTCCTAATTCTATTCCCTTAGATTTCTCAGTTGTTAATATCTTCTTACTTAGTTACTATAGATATTTCTTACTGAAGTATTTTATATATATATATAATATATAATATATGTAATATTTTACCTCTGAGTACTTGTTATGCATCTCAAACAAACCAGAACATTACCTTCCTTGTTTTAATGCCATTATCAACTAACACAATGAGTAATGTATTTACATCATCATCTATATGGAGTTCATGTTAATTTGGACTCATTTTCCAAATTGTGTCCAAATGTCTTTTATAGTTCAATCATCAATAGCACCCTTGTTTGAATCCTGTTAAGAGACTCTTTGGGAACTCTGAATTTCATAACTGCTTCTAACTTTCTGCCTACCAAAAACCTTCCTTCTCTACTCACACATAGAATGACATTGACTCATTCAAATGTGTGAGCCCATTGCCCTGTTGAGTAACCTGTCTTCTTTTAAGTCTGAAAAGATAAAGTAGAAATTCTGCATTCAGTTAGGGCATGGACAATGTCAGTCTGGAAAACCTTGTGGAAACTGAAAAGGTGCCAGTGTGGTATGGTAGATAGTGAACATTTCCTGGCTCTAAATGTTCCTATTTTTGGTAAGTCCACTTGAGGACTTTTGGTGAAAACAGTGTAGGAAGTTGTTAGAAGTCTAATAAATCACCATAAAGTTTTCCCCTTTTCCTCTCCTCCTATCTTTCTCTCCCATTTTAGGCTACAATTTCACTATGTCAGGGCAATGACTCTTCATGTTCTAATAGACTATCTTAAACCTATACTTAAAAACATACAGGACTGTTCAAAGTATGGGCTTCACATCCAGTCTCGGCACTTACTTAGCAGCTCTGCTCTGACCCTCAGTTTATTCACTTTTAAGATAAACTTCTTTCTTCTCCCCCATGTTCATCTATTTGTTGCTCATGATAATTAGGACAATGAGAAAAAGTATTTCTTTCAGGACTGTTCAACAATCATACTGACTGTGCCATTTTTGTTGATAATGTAATAATCTGTGCTTTGGGTTTTATCTAGGGGAGAAAGTAAAAGGACCAGGATAGCAATGGAGCTTATCACAGATCCTCCCATCTTGTTCTTGGATAAACCAACAACTGGTTTAGATTTGAGCACTACAAATGCTGTTCTTTTGCTCCTGAAAAGGTAAAGTTCTTTCATTTATTCAATATATGATTACTTCTGTTTACCATATATTCTTGGTTCAGGGAAATCAGAATACATTGCAGGCTTTCTTACTTCTTTGTTAGAGGGAAATTATTAAAAAAAACCCAAAGAAATGTTATCAAGATTGATGAAATAAGAGTGTAGTGTGAAAGTGGTAATGGGGTTGAGAAGCTGTTTTAACTAGCAGGAGGGTCAGAGAAGATCACAAGCATGTGACAGGTGAGCTGGAGTGAGATGTGATGTATCTGCAGAAAAGAGTTCTGGGTGGAAGGAGCAGCCAGTGGCCATGAGCAAGAGAATTCCTGGTGCATGTGGAACATCAGAGGGACCACAGAGACAGAACCTAGTAGATAAGGGGAGAGAAAACTGGGTGATTTTGGTGTAAAAACAAAATACCACAGACTGGAGGCAAACAACAGAAATTAATTTTCTTCTAGCTCTGGAGGCTGAAAGTTGATATCAAGATGTTCCACAAGATTGTTTCCTCCAAGGCCTCTCTTATTGGCTTGTAGATGACCACCTTCTCCCTCTGTTCTTGTTTCTAATCTCCTCTTAACTGGACACAACTGAGATGAGGACCTTCAAGGTTCTCATGCAATTTTAATGACTGATTTGAAGACTCTTATCTCTAAAAGTAGCCACATTCTGAGATACAGGGGGTTAGGACTTTAATATGTGAGTTTTGGAAAAGCCAGAATTCAGCCATTCACAGTTAGAAATGATGTGAGATAAAGTTGGGCTGGCCTAGGTCTCCTAGGCCAGTGTTAAATAAATGGCTTTCTATTCTTTTTGATAGGGACATGGGGTCATTTTTTGTCTTATTAAAGATACAACAAGTTTTCATTTGCCAATCTAGAATCGGGAACAATGAATGCTCAATGAACTGAGCAAAGGGGGTTGGATTTATAGGAAGAAAAGGGCAGAAGAAAGAAGAGAATATATAGCAGATAGGTTATTAGAAAGTTACTTTCCTTAAGGGGTTAAACAGAGGGCCTTCCTTGTAATGCAACTCAGGTAATATAGAGCTCTTATGATTGGTTACTAAGAATCTGATTTTGGAAAACAGACCCATTTAAATCTAGTTTGATTACCTTGCACTTAACACAAAAGACTCATGGAAGCATTTTGAGTATATTAGAGCAGGGCAATGGCTATAGGGAAGGCTGTGAAGTTCGGATAGGATGAGTGAAGGACTCTAAGAAGGAACTGTTGAGGCAGGATGGGGTCTGGACTAAGGTGCCCATGCTGCAGTGGTGAGGAGCACAGGTTCTGAATCTGTTTGAGGCTGGAAAAAACAATCAGTTTGGGAAGTGGACCTAGGCTTTGAGAATTGAGAGAATGATGCCTGAGATTTGGGGCCTGATTAAGAGGAAGAATGAAGCAAAAGAAATGACAATAGCTTTTATTAAGAAGTGAGAACTGGGGCTGGGGATGTGGTTCAAGCAATAGTGCGCTCACCTGGCATGCGCGTGGCCCAGGTTCGATCTTCAGCACCACATAAAACATAAAAACAAAGATGTTGTGTCCGCCGAAAACTAAAAAATAAATATTAAAATTCTCTCTCTCTCTCTATTAAAAAAAAAGAAGTGAGAACTATGGAGCTGGGCATGGTGGCATATGTCTGTAATCCCAGCAGCTTGGATGCTGAGGCAGGAAGTCATGAGTTCAAAGCCAACATCAGCAATTTAGTGAGGCTCTAAGTAACTCAGCGAGACCTGTCTCTACATATAATACAAAAAAGGACTAGGGATGTGGCTCAGTGGTTAAGTGCCCTTGAGTTCAATTCCCAATAACAAAAAGAAAAAAAATGCAAAACTGTGACAGGAAAGTTTATAGGAAACAACATTTCAAAAGTTAACTTTTAAACTTATTTGAAAGTATAAAAAATAATTTCAAAATTATAAGATGGCTCCAAAAATATTACAAATAAAATCCACTCTCCTCTCCTAGACTCTCCAATTGTTACATTTTACTGCATTTTCTTGCCCTCCCTGTCTCTGCTCACCATTACATAGATTTTTTACTTTACATCATCCTCTATCACTACTGAATACTCCTTAGTTTAAACTCGAAGATATAAAGACACTGTACCATATCAACCTCCCAGTGAGGAATTTAACAATGACAGCTTCACAATTATTGAGTCCTTCAACTCCAATAAGATGTCACAAGCTCACTCTGCTTTCTTCCTCTCTCAGGATTCTGAAGAAACATGTATTTACTGGATGTTTCATTTTTTTATCCTCTAATCTGGAAAAGATGCTCAGTCTTTCTCTGGCTCTCATGTGGTTGAGTTAGGACATTTCATGAGTGACCTTCTGATGGTCTATTACAGTTGCTTAGACTGACTCAGGCATGAAACCATGCTGAGTTCCCAGTATAACACACCTGAGCTTCACCCACCACAGCTGGTGTACACCTCCATCATCTGATCACATTGGTGTCTGCTGGACTTCTCTTCTGATAAATTACTGTTTTCCCCACACTGGAATAGATTAGTATATTATTGGGAAATAAAATAAACTATTTAATGCCAAATTCTGTTCCTCATCAAATGTCCCCCACCAATTTTAGATGAACCCAAATCTCCTGCTCTTGTGGTAGCTGCCTAACATGTTATTGTTGACAGCATATCTAAGAAAGAGGTTTTTCTTCTTCCCTATTTATTTCCCATATGATTAAGTTAGTCAGAATCTCTATTACTCCCTGTTTTAGTGATCAAGTTGATCCTGATTGGGCCTCTTAGAGTTCATTCAATGTGGCTTTTGTGTTCCTTTGACTTCTCCCTAATCATCTGTCAAGCATTTCTTTTCTTTGTGGTCATTATGATGTTCCATGCTCGTGTTGTACTATATCAGCCATTTGTAGAAGGTGCCCTTGGTTAGAAACCAAGATCTGGTTGTTTAGTGCACTAACTACTATTGGAGTGGCTTAGCTTCTAGTGGCATTGCCTTTAGTAGACAAATCTAGGAAATATACATGTGTAAGTTTGTGTGTATACACATATATAAAGTAGAAATTTGATTCTATATTTTATTTGTTCAGATAATAATTATAAATATGCTTATATGTGCATTTATGAGTCTCTGTGTGATTTGCACATTGTTTGTACCCAGTCTACTACAGAGCAACATTACCAACACCTACATGTGAATTTCTGATAGTCACAAATAAACATACATCTGTAAATGTTGATATTTCTTTTAGCATTTAATGTTATCATTAAAATCCCATAAATTCATAATAATATTCCTAATTCCAATCTAACAATTCAGTGTGTTTTAAAATACTTTTTTAGTTGTAGATGGACAGCTTTATTTTATTTGTTTATTTTTATGTGGTTCTAAGGGTCACACCCAGTGCCTCACTCATGCTGGGCAAGTGCTCTGCCACAGAGCTACAGCCCTAGCCCCCTTCAGTGTTATTTTAAATTTTGTCCTTTCAATCTTTGCAAGTCACTTTAGACAGTAAGAGATATGGCCCATTATCTCAATATATTTGCTTATTTTCTCAGTTAAGTAATTTAATTGTTTAATGCAATCAGTCTCCCACTGATTTGGTCTACCACCTCTGGATCCCCTCTGCCTCATATATTAAGCTACCAGACACACCACCTTCATGGCTCACCCTCTCTATCACTAGGTCACTTCCTCTGGTGCCCATGCCCCCATAAGCAAGGTTCTGTGCTAGCAGAGAAGAAACAGGAAGATGCAAAGATGGATAATTAAACATCTTAATTTTGAAATGTAAAGTGCACATACAAGTGAAGATGCCAAGTTATGGGTCTAGCCTTCTGGTACCATTTCAGAGTATACCCAGGATATTTTTATTATTTAGAAATATGTTAATGATGTTTATTAGCAAATGATGGATTGATACAAAATTTACAACTGCTTTCTTTATGCTTTGCACTACGTAGCACACAAGTATGCTGCCTACTGCAGGGAGCTCTAATTGGTCATTCTAAATGACTTATGTGTATTCTTATCATCAATGATCTAGTTATAATGCATATTCTATTTCTTTAATCTGAGATAGAGCCTAAGATTCTCCACAGGATAATAAAACAGGGGATTCTGATAACGTTGCCACTGGTTGTTGTTGTCCTCAGACAACATTTTGGGAAGCAGGACTGTCATGCAATTATGCTTCCTACTTCTAATCCAGCTCCCTATTCCCTGCTGGCTATAGTTGTGTTTTTTGAGTGAAGACTTAATTGTCCCCTTTTTTTGTGATCTCTTTAATTATTTTCTTCATCCAACATCTAATATCTCACTAACAAACACATACACACATACATACACACATAAGTCCTGATTTGTAAAAAAAAAAAAAAGAAGAGCTTCTTTTAGTTTCTAAAATAAGCATTTTTTAAAAAAATTTTATGCTTTGTTTATTTTGTTCTTCAAGAATGAGCTGTCTTCTATTCTTAGATCACTCCTGTTGAGACTTTTGATGTTCTACTAGTACTATCTTCATAATGGGTTGTAAGTCTCCTATTTTGCTTAAATGGAACCCTCATCTAATTCTATTTCCCATTGTACTGAAATTATTGGCCTACTGGCCTGATTATCTTTGAGGCAAAGCATCTTTCCACACACAGTTAGCATATACTAGGTGCTTCTCAAGTATGCATATTCAAGCTGCCTTCTCATAATTTTTTTCAGTACTAAAGTTTGAACTTTGGGGTGCTCTACCACCGAACTATATCTCCAGTTCTTTTAATTTTTTTTCTTTTTTTTAATACAGGGTCTCACTCAATTTCCCAGGTTTGCCTCAAATTTGCAATCCTCCTTCCTTACCCTTCTGAATACCTAGGATTAAAAGCATGGACCTTTATGCCTGGTCCCTAAAGTATTTTAAATGTAGTTTTTTAACAGTGATTTTGTCATTGTGTCTTCTACCCATAAGCTATAACTTTTTTGTAAAGGAAGTTTAGAACTGCTTATACTGTAGAATTAAACCAGAAATCAAATTCAAAGTTTTTTCCCTAGTATTCAATGACCCTTTGATCATCTGCTTGAACGTTAAGCCTAAAATGTAAAAAGAAAAAAATAATTATATCGGAACTGCCTTATAACAATATTGTGAACATGAAAATATGGCTATTTCTAAAGCATTTAGCAAACACATAGTAATGTTAATTGTTTTATCAGTTTAGAAGAATGAAAATTAAACCTAAAAGATATAAATGATCAAAGAGAATTTATCATATGACACCTTTAATAATATTTACTCTATAACTAGTTCTCAAACTCAAGTGTACTTACAGATTACCTGGGATGCTGCTTAAAAATATGGACTCCTGCCAGGTGCAATGGCCCATGCCTATAATCCCAGCAGCTCAGGTGGCTGAAGCAGGAGGATAACAATTCAAAACCAGCTTCAGCAATTTAACAAGGCCCAGAATAACTTAATAAGACTCTGTCTCTAAATACAAAATAAAAGAGGACTAACTGGTTTAGCACCCCTGGATTCAATCCCAGGTACAAAAAAAATAAAAAAATAAAAATTAATTCCTGTACCCACCCTGAGATCTTAATTCAAAATCTTGGAAGACTATCTAGGAATCTTTATAGTAGATTCCAGACTGTTGATTCACAATCCTTTAAGAAGTCCAGTTTTTTTTTTTTTTTGAGAGAGAGAGAGAGAGAGAGAGAGAGAGAGAGAGAATTTTTAATATTTATTTTTTAGTTTTCCGTGGACACAACATCTTTATTTTTATGTGGTGCTGAGGTTCGAACCCAGCACCCCGCACATGCCAGGTGAGCTACCACTTGAGCCACATCCCCAGCCCATGTCCTAGTGTTTTTAATAAAAATATTGAATTTCATTTCCCCAGTAATCATGTAGATAATATAAAATGAGATGAGAACTCCATAAGAGAAAATCAAGTGGAACTGGAAACAAATGGTCTAATAGCAAGAATAAAATATTTTACCAAGAAATTCAGGATTCATATACTTAATGATTCATTGTTTTCCCTTTTAACTTAGGATTTCTCAGCAGGGACGAACGGTTATCTTCTCTATTCATAGACCTCATTATTTCATCATCAAGCTGTTTGACAGCCTCACCATCTTGGCTTCAGGAAAATTAATGTACCATGGTCCTGCACAGAAGGCTTTGGAATACTTCTCATCAGCAGGTGTAGTAGACTTTTTGCATGTACTTGATCCTTCATTCATTCTATGTTGGGAGAGAGCAGAGGAGTCCACAGGAGTGTTGTTTGATAATATAGAGGTACCTGAGATTCCACCTCCCTAAAACATCTTTGGTTACTTTGGTGCCAGAATTTTTCTTCATTTTGGCAGTGCTTGCTTGATTTTTAGATCTCTTTCTTTTTCCTCTCCTATCTGAGTATGCATGTGTGTGTGCATCTGAGTATTTTTACTGGACCTGTCTGTTATGATTCTTAGTTATTATTGATTGGAAGTCAGATTTCCATTGTTGTGACAAGACACCTGAGAAAAACAACTTATAAAAAGATAATTTATTTTGGCTCACAGTTTCAGAGATTTCTGCCCATGGTCAGCTGGCTCCATTGCTTTGGACCTGAGCTGAGACAAGGAAGAATCTCAAGAGGAAGAATATGGTAGAGGAAAGTTGCTCAGTTCATGGCTGCTAGGAAGCAAAAAGGGAGAGAGAAAGAGGGAGAGAAAGAAAGGGAGAGGGAGAGGGAGAGAGAAAAAGAGAGGGAGAGGGAGAGGGAAAGAGAAGAGAGGAGGAGGAGGAGGAGGAGGAGGAGGAGGAAGAGGAGGGACAATGATGACCAGACAGGAGGGGAGAGGTAGGGAGGGGAGGGGAAAGGAATGGAATTTCAGAATCTCCCATGGCATGCTACCAGTGACCTATTTCCTCCAACTAGGACCCACCTCCCAGTAGGAGAAATTGGAATTATTAATACATCAGATGGATTAATCCACATGAAGTTAGAACTTTTATATCCAATTGTTTCTTAAAAGCCCCACCTCTGGACATTTTTCCACTGAGGACCAAGCCTTGTACACAGGAATCTTTGTGGGACACTTCATATGCCAACCAAAATTTCTACCCTGGTCCCAAGAAACTCATGCCTATCTCATAATGCAAAATGCATTCAGTCCCAAGAATCCCCATAGCCTTAACAGTTCTACCAGGTCTCAAAAGTCTAATTTCAATATCTCCTCTAATATTCAAGACAAAACCTTAGCTGTACACTCTTATATAAAAAAAAAAGTTCTATGCTTCCAACATATAATGACAGAGTAAACCTTCCCATTCTAAAAGGGAGAAATAGGCACATAGAATGAAGGGATTGGACCAAAGCAGTTTAAAAAAAAAGTTCTATGCTTCCAACGTATAATGACAGAGTAAACCTTCCCATTCTAAAAGGGAGAAATAGGGATATAGAATGAAGGGATTAGACCAAAGCAGTGAAAACATTAAATTCTGTAGGTCCACATTTAGCTTCTGAGACAATGGTAGCAAGATCTGGGCTCTTAGGGCTGGGGAAGCCCCTCCACCTCTGTCCTTACTGGTTGTAACCCCTATGGCTCCTTCTTCTGGTTCTGCTCCTAGTCTGCAGCTTTCCTTGGGAGACATTCTACATTCTAGGGATCTCTTAATTCCCTGGAATTCCACTGCATCATTTGCTTCACTCTCAAAGTTTCACACTTTGCCTTCTCAGGTTTCACCTTCAGGTATTCCAACTCTGAAACACACTATCTGGTTCTCAGGCCTTCATTTGAACTCTCTGTTGAAGTCTGAGAGACTCCCCTAACTCTAGCATCCTGCATTACTGCAAAACCAGCATCATGTGGATAATAGCAAACTGTACAGCCAGGCACAGCTCTATTCTGGACCTCTTGAACCATGGTTGCAGTAGTTTTGAATGCATGCGCAGCTAAGCAGGGTGTTTTAGTTAGCTTTTTCACCACTGCAACTAAAAGACCTAATCAGCACAATTGTAGAGGAGGAAAAGTTTATTTTGGGCTCACAGTTTCAGAGGTCTCAATGGATAGACAGCAGACTCCTTTCCTCCGGGCTCAAGATGAGGCAGAACATCAGAAGAGTGTAGCAGAGGGAACCAGTTCACATGATGATCAGTAAGCAGTTAGAGGTCTTCATGTGCCAGATAGAAAAGCGACACCTCCAATTCCCACCTCTTCCAGCAGCTCCCTACCACTTCACTTACCTCTCAGTTAATTCCTATCAGGGGATTAATAACTGATTGAGTTAACACTCTCACAACCCAACATTTCTCCTCTGAACCTTCTTGCATTATCTCACATGTGAGCCTTTGGGGGACACCTCACATCCAACCTATAACACAGGGTGAAAGGAATCCTAGGGAAAGAACTTCTTAGGCACCCCTGTGCTAAGGACTCTTCTTAAAGTCTTTCAACATGTTTTCATTTGTACACACTTGAGCCTGTTATGCAGGTTGGTCAATTCCTGAATGCCTCAAGGCATCTCTCCTATTGTCACAATGAGAAGTACTTGTTTTGCTTTTAGTCATGCTAAATTCTGGCCAAACTGCAAAATTTTCAAAATCTTTCTGCTCTGATATTTAGTCCTGATTTTTATTATAAAGATGGTCAAACAGATCAAAATGCTTTGCTGCACTGAAATTTCCTCCACCAGATTAATTAGTCTATCACATTTAAATTCAACTTCATACAAAGCCTAAGGACATGGAAAAGTGTACACATGTTCTTTGCCAGGATGTATTACTAATGGCCTCCAGTCCGGTTCCCCAAAGAATCCTCACTTCCATCTGAAACTCATGAATGTAATCTTTACTGTCTGCATTCCTATGGGCATTCTTGTCTTCTGACCGCCCACCAGAATTGTTCAATAAGCTCTGTTTAAAATATCTTAAGGCTTCTGTAGCTATCATCACCAAACCTTTTCAGATTTCTCCTGCAAATCACTTCCAAAGGCTTCTTAACCACATGGGTAGGCACAGTCACAGCAATGACTCCTCTTCTTGGTACATATTTTCTGATAGTCAACTTTTCATCACTATGATAAATACATGAGAAAATTAACTTTGAAAAGGAAAGATTTATTTTGACTAATGATTACAGAGGTTTCAGTTCACCTTCAGTTGGCTCCATTTCTTTGGGACTGTGATAAGGCTGAACCTCATGGCAGAAGGACATGGCACAGGAAAGCTGTTTAGCTCAAGACATCCAGGAAGTAAAATGAGGGGGGGGGATGGCAAGGGAAACATAAAACCTTTAAGGAGATGGCCCCACTCACCAAATTCCTCCATCTAGGTCCCATCTCCCAGTAATTTATTCATTTTTTTAATTAATCACATGTATTAATTCACTAAGGAGATTATAGTCCTCATGAGCCAATCATTTTCTAAAAGTCCCACCTCCCAACATTGCTACATTGGGGACCAAGTACTAAACATATGAATTTGGGGAAGAAAATACTTCAGATTCAAACCCTAACAATGGTCTTTTCCTGAAAGTTCATTATTTAACTGGTTGTACTGTCATCTAGTTGTTCTGTCATTTCAATATTTTTGGAAAGTACCAGTATTACTTTCTTCTTGATCATAGAACCAATTGTGGTTTTTCTATGTTGACTTGGCAGTGATCTTGCTCTGCCTTGATGAGGGCTCATGAAGATGCTATATCACTTTCTAGAAACATTATATTTAACATTTATGACTTGAATGCGTGTGAATAATAGTCAATAGAATGTGTGGTTCTAAATTCATTTTTAATGAACCAATGTTTCTGAGCTGCCTGGTTCTATTTCATATTGAATTATGTGTTTTTTAAAAATGGCTCCAAAAATCTATTTAAAGACATTTGGAGATGATAATACATGTTTCTCCATGACTCCAAATGCAGTAGTGAATACTCACTAGCTAATTTTTTATTTGTTTATTTTAATCTCTGTCATTTAAATATAACCTGGGCTTAGGTTGTGGCTCAGTGGTAGAGTGTGTTAGGCATGGAGTTCAATTCTCAGCATCATAAGTAAATAAATAAATAAATGAAAGTCCATCAACAATTAACAAACTATTTGAAAAATTAAATAGAATAAATCTAACCAAGCATGTATGAGTCTAGAGAGTCCAGTAGAGATGAATTTGAGAGTCAGACTTCAGGCTCTCTTCAGATGATTGTGCCAAAAGAAGCTGAGGTGGAAGTTCAGGTATAACCTGGTGGTCATGTTCTCAAGAATGCTGCTTCATATTTGGAATATGGCAGCATGTGAGATGATCATTTGCACCTCCAAATTCAGTAGGCCGAGAAGCAGTCATTGCTGCATGCACAGGGAAATTTCAGCAGTCCCTACGTGAACTCAAAAACATACTGTACCCAGGCCTTTAATAATTTTTTTCTGGACCTAGTTTTAGTACTTGGAAGTACTAAAGTTTAGTACTGGGAAGTACTAAGTTTACTGGGAAGTACTAAGCTTAGTACTGGGAAGCACCAGAGCATATTGATAGCTGTTCGAGTTTCATGATTTATGATACCCACACATGTATTGCTGGCAGATAGAATATTGTTGAAAGTCTGCATGAATGAATAGGATGAAAGAAAGTACAAATTTGTGAGGTGAGAAGAGAGCAAGAAGAGGAGGGAGAAAATTTTAAGATTCTGTCTTCCCTAGCCTCACTTCCATCACCACCTGGAAAGGAGACCTGTTTACATTCCAAGACCATCACACTGAGTTCTTGGGGTGTCTCCTTTTACAGGTTATTCCTGTGAGCCCCACAATGACCCTGTTGACTTCTTCCTGGATGTCATTTATGGAATTTCCTCTGCTGTGGTATTAAACAGAGAGGAAGAAGACCATGAAGGTATGTGAATCTTTTAGATTCACTTTATTTGCCTAATTGGTTTGACCAATTAGCAATGTGGTGGCTCATTAAAACTTAGCTTTGTGAATTCATGTTTATTCCATGTTCTGATGCCAGCCAATAGATAGACTTTATTGTCAATGAGTGCTGTTTCATATTCAATTTATGAATGAGCAATTATATGATGCTGTTATTGTAAGAGGAAAACTCACTAAAAATAAATTTGCTTATTATTTAGTGTACTTTTATAATAAAAATTTGGTACTTTATGTATTTTCTCCTAGTAGAAAATAAGGACAAGGTTTTATACTAAGAAATATAACTCTTTGTGGTAAGAAGTCTATTTTAAGAACTGAGATCCAAATTGTTAGGGAAAGTTTGAGTGAGTTTTTTCTATCCATATGATTATGGCAGAATCTGGCCAATTAGCTATGTTTACCAATGTTTACATCAATGACAACACTCGTAATAGCTTTAGAATAAAATTGTTATCTCATAAATGAGTCACAGAAAATTGGGTTAAGTCAGTTCTTGTCTGCTAATAATATTTCTATTCTTTATCTATTTTTCTTCTAAAGTCAGCCAAAATGAAGAACTTCCTAAGAGAGAAAAAAACAATTACAAAAATATTAGCTGAGTTTTATGCTAACTCCTCACTGTACAAAGACACAAAAGCTGTATTAGAAGAACTCTCAGGTGGTCTTAAGGAGACCAGTCTTCATGGAAACCACCTAGGTCACCTCCTTCTGTCACCAACTCAGATGGATTTCCTGCCGTCCATTCAAAAACTTGCTGCCTAATTACAGGACTGCTATAGAGAGGGTAATCTGAAAGATTCTTTTCATTTTGCTGTGAGATTCTTATGTGGGAGCAATTGGGTTCTGATATAGTCTACTTAAGAATTATGAGTATTTTCTTTTCTTTTTCTTATTTCTAATGTAAGAATTTTCACTTGAAACTTTTTAAAGTATAAAATAGTTGCCTAATATGTTGGTACATGCCTGTATTCCCAGCTACTCAGGAGGCTGAGGTAGGAGGATCACAAGTTAGAGACAAACTTGGGCAATGTAGCAAGACCCTATGCAAAACAAAAAGTGCTGGGGATGTGGCTCAGTATGAGCATATTTGCCTTGCATATGTGAGATCCTGGTTGCAATCCTGATTATGGAAAATGGGCAGGTGGAAAATGTGCATGTTTCCTGGCAGAAGAGTTGAGAGCTCAATTGAAGTCATCCCTCTTAGCTGCGTGGACTTTAATTTGTTCCCAGATCAACTTTGCCAGGTGCCTGCATTGCTTTGCTACTATGTTGTAGGACATTCATAAGTCCCGCTCCTGAACTGGGCCCTGAACTGGGAATACTTGGTAGACACTGAGAGGAGTCTTGGCCATTCCAATAATCTGCTCTGTTATTCTCTCAATTCAACAAAAACAGGTTAGTGTTCAACTTAATTTAGAAAGTAGTGTAATAGTGTGCACTGTATTCTGATTCTCTCAGAGACTTTGGCCAAGCCATCTCAGTGGTGAAATCTGATTATGAAGCTGTATATTTTATTATAAATGGTGTACATTTTTCACTTCTAATTGACACTATTTCCTTTATCTTTTTCATTTTCCTTTTTTAAAAAGATCATTACCACAATCATAGGTGGACTGGTTATGAGTTCTATTCTCCTTCACCTAAAAAATGATTGCACTGAAATCCAGATTAGGTAAGTAAATTTGAATCAATGCTGTTTTTTTCAAGCATGGAAAAATCCATTTCATATTTTTTTGAGTATAAGTATTGAGTAAACATTATATTCATTGTGGGTAGGATGTGTTCATGCGTTGAAAAATGAGTGGAAAAATTAATTTTCTTTTTCATATATATTTGTATCTATTGTTGAACTGTATACATCATAAATTTTACCCTTTTAAACCTTTTTGAATGTACATTTACTGTTTAGTGCATCAAGCACCTGATCATTGTGCAACTATAGCCAATATCCAATCCCAGATTGTATTTTTTATTTTTTGTCTTCCCACACAGAATTTCTATACCCTACATAGGGAGAGACCTCATGGGGTGATTCTTCCTCTCTCTTTTAACCAGAATAGTAATTTTTTTCTTCTTCCTTTCTTTCTTTTTTTATGGAAAAAAACTATGTTTATTTTGTTTCTGTTCTGTCCTGGCAGGACCTGGAAACTCTGTCTGCTAATTGGCTTTCAGTGTTTACACAACCTGTCAGCAAAGGAGACCTTTGCACTTGAGAAGAAGCTCTTTATGTGAGTAGATCTCTATTTTAGGAAGGAGCTTGATGTCTGTTGACTAAATTGGTGATATCTATAATTGGATCAAGGATCTGATTGGGAGAATATCAGTATTTTTCTTTTCTTTCATATGTTGATTTGTTTAAAGGACAAATACAAATCATATATACCTATTATATACAGTATGAGCTTTCAAAGTATGTGCAGAGATAACCAGTATTAACTGAAAAAAAGAAAAACAGGGTAGAAAGTCAAGTGTATGGGGCCTCCTGCCAAAGGAAGAGTGAGTTTTGGGGTGAGGTGTAGTCAACAAATTCCAGTGCTGCAGAGAAAGCAAGTAATAGAGGGGCTGAAATTATCTTTTTGTTTCTAGAATATAACAAATCAAGATGACTCTAGCAAGAACATTTTGAGGAGCTAAGTAGAATTGTAGTGGTGGATTAATCAGCAAATTAACAGTAGTAGATAAAGCTGACAAAGAATTGAAGGTGTGCAGCCTTCAGTGGATTTAAGAATGGAATGAATCAAAGGAAAAGAAGAAAAGGTTCAGTTTTTCTCTTGAGATTTTCAAATATAAAGGAGATTTGCCCATGCTTACATATGCACCAAGGATAGCAATCATCAGAGAGGGAAGGAATGAAGACAGTGGTGGAAGAGTTTAAAAATACAGGAAATCCATGTGAAGAAGAGGAAAGATGAGGATTTAGTATCTGAAAGGGGGTATTGTTGAAAGACATGATCAATGAAGGAAGAAGTCTTTTTTTTCTTTTGTTTAATCATGAGAGTAGCAAAAGTAAAAGGAGAGGGCTGGGATTGTAGCTCAGCGCTAGACCGCTCTCCTAGCACATTCAAGGCCCTGGGTTCCATCCTCAGCACTACATAAAAATGAATAAATAAAATAAAGGTAATGTGTCCAACTACAACTAAAAAACTAAAATTAAAAATAAATAAAGTAAAGGGAGTTTAGGAATCTGCACCTGCTTCTAGGGTCTTGGAGAATAATAAAGCCACCTTTGTCACAATCATAAGTGGGGAGAAGAAAAGCCTTTGTTATCACTGAGATTAGCCCCTGATGTTTTGCTCTTCAAGCAGAACCCAGCTCAGAGGATAAATATAGCCTCTGAGGAAAGTGAGGAGATGCAGACTCTGTCCCTGGAGGGGTGATGTGGGCCAGAGTGGGCAGCACAGGAGGAGTGCTGTCATGAGAGGATCTGAGCAAGAGCCTTGGGGGGCTGATGTTCCAGGGAGGCTGCACCTGAAGTGGAGAATGACGTGGGGGTGGGGGTCAGCCTACAACCCTTGGACATATGCAGTGTCAGACCTGGTGGCAGCAGGAGTCTGCAGAGCAGAGTCTCCTCTGGGCTGTGCCTTCCTGGGATAATCTGGGATGTATGGTATGTGTTTTTGTTCTGCAGACAAGAGTACATCAGTGGATACTACAGAGTGTCTTCTTACTTCTTTGGAAAACTGTTATCCTATTTCTACCCAGGAGTTTGTTAACAATTATTCTAGTTACTTGTACAGTATACTTCATGTTAGGTAAGTAACAAGATAAAGAGGATGTGTCCTTAGTTTTACAAATGAAAGGAAACTAATTTCTCTTTGTAAACATATTTATGGTTTCCAAAACGAAAGATCAAGTCATAAGCCAGTAGAGAAAGTATTCATTCCTCACTTTCAAAAATGGTATTTCAGTTGACGATACTGTTCTACACAAATTCTTTTATTTTTATTTGTTACTTGTGTGTGTGTGCAGTACTGAGGATTGAACCTGGAGCCACTCACATGCTATACAAGTGGTCTAACATTGAGTTACATCTCCAGCCCTTTTTTACACTTCTATTTTGAGATAGAGTTTTGCTAATTTGCTCAGGCTTGCCTTAAGCTTGGATTCCTCCTTTCTCAGTCAACCCAATTCCAGGGATAACAGGTGTATGGCACCGTACTGGACTCAACTGAACTTTCAAACCTATAAATATATTTTATGTCAGTAAAATGCTGTGATTCATACAAAAACATGGAAAGAATCCCTTCATATTTGAGACTATACTGGAGATAATGGGATATTTATTGCTTTTCAATTTTTCTCTGTGTCTCTGTACATATACCTTTACATAAAGATAAAATATAAATGGAAAAACTATAAATAGGTATTAGAGAACAAAGAGAGAGCTAAAAAATCAACATACACACACATACACATATGCGCGCACACACACACACACACACACACACACACACATTTATTCTCCCTCTCCTTTTCCCTATTTAAAGAAAGATGATGACTTTTGGGTACAGGGATTTAACTGGAATATTTGTTTAATGGCCATAGACACATTAATTTGTGCATTATGCTCAGGCTTCTTCCTAGGCTCATGCTGTAAGAATGTAAATGTATTTCTTTCTCTCTCTTATGCACTCACATGCACACATACACACATCACAGAAATATCTATTTTTGACAATACACTGCAGAGTAAGAACCATTGAGAAAGTGTAAACCTTCCAGTTTAGAAATAAAAGTTGTTTCATAAATAATTAATTATGTAATCTAACCCCTCCCCCACAGTCCTGATTGGTGTTCCTGCACCAATTGCAACATTGTAAGACTGATGGTGAGCATTAACTCATTAGAGTTCATAAAGGTGGTCGAAGAAACTTCATTTGGCTCCAATCTGAATCAGAGTAATATGATTTGTCTACAGGTATTCAGCCTATGGATTCTTTCTCTTTCCTTCCCATATATTAAAACCATTGTTACAAAAAATATATAGAATTGTGATCACAGATTTTCTTTTTGCTAACAAATGCATTATAGCAGACAGTGAGTAATGCAGAGATGTCTGGGTACATGGATGTGCTGTTGATGGGTTTTCTTTATTAGGAGAAGGCAGTATAATTTGGCTAGATATGTTGCCTGTGTCCACCTCACCAATTTTGAATTGATCAAAATTACACATAGGGCAACATCAGTGTTATATGAGAAAATGCTTTGGTAGAAAGTGTAATAAATCTGTATGGTAATGTTATATAGTGGTGAACGATGCAATTAATGTCCCTGGGTATTTCAGTCTTGAATGACAACTTTTCATCTTGATACTATTTTTTTCAGAGTATTATACTGTCATTTGTGCATTCGTGTATGTACACGCGCACACACACACACACACACACACACACACACACACACACACGTGTCAAATACATGGGAACCTAGGCAGGTAGACTGACCCTTTCAATTCTTTCAAAGGATTGAAACCAGGAGTGAAGGCTTTCTTCATAACGATGCTTACCATTTTGATGGTGGCTTATTCAACGGTTCCCTGATCCTTGCTATTGGAGTTCACAGTATTTTTTTCACAGCAACAATTCTGGGACTATATTTTCTATTGATGATGGTGAGTGTGAACTGTGATTGTCTGAGAGGGAATTTTTCCCCTTGTTCCTTCCCGCTCTTTCACCTGTCCTGTAAAACCTACTTTGAGGATTCAGGGCATAGACCTAAGATGCTTTCTGAATGTCATGGACTAAGATCCTGTTTATATTAGAGAATCTACCACTTTCCTCCTGGCACTTATCTTGTTTTTTTTTTTCCTGGTGCTTAATGTGAACTATGTTAAACTTAATTAACATGTCCTTACTAACAGCTTTTAAATGAACATCTTGGTGACATTATAAAACCTTAATACATTGGAAATTCAAACACCAGAACAAAAAAAATGATTAGGCACTTCCTTCATAAAAATAAGCAATTTGTCTGCCTTTCATGCTGGTATTGAGAACTGCCAGCTAGTTAAGAGCAGAGGTGGTTCAGTTGGGTTCATTACTCTCCAAGGTCAAAGTTAAGTTCCATGAGAAGTTAACAGAGTTGTGCCACATGGGGAGTCTAACTTGAATGACTTTTGCATTTTGCAAAGGAGTATTTTAAAAACACTGGAAATCCCAAACTCATAGTACAAGGTCACCGTATTAATGGGTTCCTGATGCTTTTTATATCAATATTTTTCTGCTTACTTTTGCTTTTAATGATTACTTAGTTTTAATCTTTTATATCTTAAATTTGCACTCACAATGATGAATCAGCAGAAACTAGTTACCAACCTTTGCCACACAATGACATCAAATAGGAGTGGTTATCCTATTAATACACATGTCCTTTCTTCTACAGTAGGAGGAGTTATCTTTCAAAGATACATAATTAGTATAAGCTCTTGCCAAAGTTTAATTCTTTCATGTATAAATTTGTCAAAAATTAATGTATATCACTGAGAAAGCAATGTCTTGTTTATAGTTTCTACACTGTCAAACAAATAATAAAAGATATGATTAATTATTATGTAAGGTTTTCTATGTAGAAATTTAAAAATCAGTCCCAGAATCACATTTTACTCAGATGCTGACTTATATACTAAGCAGTTGGTTAGGTCCAGTTTTAACACATGCAGACAAAACCACAGCATTGTCATTGCTCCGAGTATCCTAGGGTACCTCACGCCAGTTAGGACAAGCATTATGTGAATCTCACAGCTGTCTCTTGTGTGTCTCCAGTAGTCCTTCCTGGCATCTTCATTGCCATACTGCTTTCTGGTAGCTTTAAATGGAGGGATTGACTGTTTCCCACTGTATTTCACCACACTATGTTGTTTATCAGTTCTAGGGTTTGGGTTTTCTAAGGCCTCCTTTCTGAGGTCCAGATGATTCCTTTGGGGTTTATTGATTTCATATATAATTATTACATTATTCTCAGCCTTCACCACAGAGTCATTGTTTCTGAATTTTTATGTTTCTCTCTCTTTTACATGCACCAGAAATATATATTTATGAAAACACACTATAGGATAAGAACCACTTATAAAGTGTAAAATTTCCATTATATAAATAAGAGATATGTTATAAAAAATTGGTCATGGAATATATACCCCCCAACTCCTGTTCTTGCAGCTGTTCCAAAATCGTTAGACTGTATGACCTGTAGTGTTAGCTCATTACAGTTTTTAAAGTAGTTTGTGATGCTTATCTTATTCCATTCTCTATCACAGAGCCATATGATGGTTTGTCTGGGAGACTTAGGTTATGGAGATACCTTTCCTTCC